TCAGCTTCTCCCATATGTAGTTTAAGAGGTATTATGATTCACAATTGAAATGTTGTTTTCACTGAAATTGTTAATGTTTCAGTTACTTTTAATCACCATATAAAAAACAGAACTATCTTTTGGATTTATCAGTTTTCTTATGCACAGTCAGTACATGAATTTAAAATGATTTGTGAGCCACATGTTTCTGAAGTATTTGGATAGTTCTATTAAAAAATAGTTAAATATTGTGCTTTTCAGAGCTTCAGAGACGGGGAAATGGGGGAGGGGGACAAGACGGACTCGATCCTGGATTGGTCCAGCCTAAACTAAATAATAGTGGCAGTCAAGATTCTGTTAGAATTTCTGTGCATTTAGTATAGTATTGAAGTGTCATTCGGGGTGAAAAACAAAGATCTGTTTTAACAACACTGAGTACATTTGGCTGTTCTATAGCCTTTTACTTCCCTCCCCAAAGAAGTTCTGTTTGCCTAACTCTCAAACTCCTGGGGTGGTACATTCCTTTAGGACCAATTAACACATAACTTTGGGGTCAGTAATATATTTGGCTGACTCTTCTGGTTCAGTATTCTCTTAGGTCATTGTATTCTCTTGTGTACAGTTACAGGAATTACAATGTTAAAGTAAACTAAATGAGTTCAGACCAATAAAATCAAGGAAAATACAGGTTGAATTCCATTAATTCTATAAGTTGCTTGCTATTAATAAAGGTCAAGAGGCCAGATTGCCCACAAGTCCACACACTGTTGTGATACTTTCCCTAGGAGGCAGATGTGCTCCAGAGGTCATGGAGGAGGCATGGCTGGATGTTGCTGAGGGTGTGTTCTGTGGCTTTGCACTTTCTGCCTTACGCGTCAGCCAGTTTAAAGACTTTTGTACTGATGAATGGCAGTATGCGGTGTGGAACAGTGTCATAACCAATTTGATGATTTATTAATCACAAAGTAACAATAAATCTCTAGCTTTTACAAAAAAAAGGAACATTGATCATTGGTTATAAATGAGAAGAGGGAAAGGGCTCTAGACTGGTGGGTGGTCCTGAGGAGTAACCACACTAGTTGGAACTGAAGCAACATTGGGTGGCATTAAGTGAAGAAAATCTGGCTAAGTCATTAAAGTTTTGAGCATGCACATCAAGAGAGCTAACCACATTTCAGAGGGAGAATCAATGAAAGGGCAACTCTGCCACATTACACAAATCTAGCTCATTATGATGATCAGGGATCTAGAAAAATCCCCATGGAACCTACAGCAAGCCATGTAAAAGCAACAGTCACAGATCACCTGGATATCATTAGGAAATTTTACTGCGGCAAGGAACAAACAGTTCACTCAAGTTAGTTTAAACCATGAAGAAAGTATTATCTTGAATAATAAAAAGTTCAGAAGTTGGTAATGATACAGATTTGGTTTTTCAAGTATCATGGAGAACTAGGTTCCCATCGTCTTTCCCCTCTGTTCTCCATATGTCCACATGGTGCCAAGACTGCCTCTCCTCTGGATTGCAAAGTGACTGCCAGTAGTAATATTAATAACATTTCATCTCCAGCAGGGATTAACGCAATCTTTCAATAGCCAACCTTTTTGAATTAAAATTTTTATTTTGAGAAAAATGTACATTTAGATTCATTTCTAAGAAAGAATACAGAAATAACCTGTATGCTCTTTGTCTAATTTATCCCAATGGTAATATCTCAAAAAATTATGGTGCAATATCAAAGTCAGGATATGTGCATTGATATAGTCCACTAATCTTGTACAGCTCTCCCCATTTTTACCTCCATGTGTGTTGTGTGTCTGTGTATTGTGTGTCTCTGCTGTTTGTGTTTAGTTCTATTCAATCTTTTCACATGTACAGGATCATGTATCCATCACTAAAGTGAAAATACAAAATATTCCTAACCCTAAAAGTACCACACTTGTTCTTTTTTACGCATGTCCATGTCCCTGTCCCTTACTCCACAAATAAAACCTAGCAGATAATTTTGTCATTTCAAGAAAGGTAAGTACATGAAATCATACAGCATGAGATCGTTTTTTTTTTTTTTTTTTTTTTT